GGGGGGGGGCAACAGCAAGCAAGTCCAGCGACAATGAGAAAATAACGTAAACAAGTAAATGAGCATGAACAAATTTTTGCGCAAATGTCAGCACTTTTTTCTCTAAGCGGTGAAGGGACAGCTAGAGAGAGAGAGAGAGAGAGAGAGAAAGAGGGGGATGAGGATGGGGAGAGAAAGATTATTTTATCGCCTGCACCCACTGCCCAAGCCCAAGCCCACGCCCTCGTCCCACCCCTCTGGCCACTTGCCTTTATTGAGTTAACTAAACAGCAACAAGAAGGAACACACACACACAAGAGGGCAGGAGAAGGGGAGGGGCGGCAGCAGGTAGCAGAGGACTGGATTGTGAGCAGTGGGCAGGGACAGGCACAGGCCGAAACTTTGCTGCGTAACGGTATTTCCGCACGAGGATTAAGCATTTGGCCAGCGGCAGAGGCAGAGGCAGCCCAGAGTTACACAGCTACAGATGCTCCTGGATTATCGCCACTGTCTCTGCCTCCGCAGAACAGAAGCCGCAACAAAACAACAACAGAAAGTAGCAAGAACAATCGGTAATGGCTGTGCGCAGGTGAGGGTAAGGAAGCTCCACTCCAGCGAGAATGAGACAGAGAGAGAGAGAGAGAGAGTCGACCCATGGGTTACTCATTAGTGTGGAATACGCATAAACCTTTTCCCCTTGCTTTTATTGATTGCATTGCGAGTACATCTTTGGCAATAATTATCCAGCAAAGTCCAGTGCTCTCGTGTATCCTCATCGTGGTGCAGTCGAGCACTTCTTCGAGCAGCGTCCTTGCAGGGGATGTACATGGACATGGCCAGCCAGCAGGGCATATCAGAAGCCACAATAAAAATGCAAAGGTGCGACGGTTGTGGCTGCTGCGGTTTCCCCCCTACCCTAATGGGTAGGTGCTGATGGAGATGGAGATGGAGATGGCCAGCAGCCACAGTGTGGACTCTGGACTCTGGACTCTGGACTCTGCGCTCCTAGATTATTCATCTTAGATAAAAGGAAACTTTCGAGCGTTTGCCGAAACAAAAACAACAAAGACAACGACAACCGCTGGCTGCACAGCTTAACGCAGCTATCCTTTATGCACCTGTGGTTGTTGTTCTTTATTCTTTAGAATACACTTTGACAACGAAGGATCCATCGCTTATGTACACCGTCTGCAATGCTCCGGCTGCCAGCTGAACTCTCTCGAACTGCCAGTAGGCAGAGGTTTTAATTTCAAAACTTGTTTTAGCATTTCGGAGTGTCACTTTGCTGTAATTTTGCTGCCTAATCGACAATGTTTCAGCTGGCACAGCGCAGCGGCAAGGCGCCGGGTAAGTTGCAGCAAAAACGAATGTGAATGTGCATTTATGGATATTACTACCACTGATTCTTCAGTTTTAATTATGCGCTTCCCAGGCTCCACCGACACAACAATTCTGCTGCCTGTGCGGAGGAACTATACCCAGACGGAGGTCGATCGCATGCAGCAGAGGCTGGACACGGGCAAGCTGCAATCCAACAAGAAGACCTCCAAAAAGAATCGAAAGAATGACGAGAAGGACGAGGATGAGACGCGTCGAAAGGTGCCCAAGAAGATCATCTCCACTCTGATCAAGTCGCATCAAGCGCCCAGGCTCTGCCTCATAGATGTTTACATGGTGATCGCAGGCGTTACCCAACCAATTCGTGTTTAAATTGTCACAGATCAATGTCAAGTGTGTAAATTATAATTAATTGATCACTGCCTATGGCTTGAATGCGGTCTTTTTCTGCCTGAGAGACCCCGATTGAGGCAGGGATCCCGATTATCCGCTGTCTGCAAGTGTATGTGCATGTGCAGTTGGTCCTTTCTTCTCTTCGATTAGTTGTTCCGGTTATGTTTGTATTGCATTTTCCCTGCTGCTACTCCTGCCTGCCTGCCTGCCTGCCTCCCTGCCTGCCTGACTCTTCTGATGCACAAAAGCTGCTTACAGTTTGACAACAACTGGCTGATGACTGCACACGGAGCGTGGGAGTGGGGCGAGTGCGAGAGTGCGTGAGTGCGAGAGGGAGAGCGATACAGCATTGTCTACTTAGTTAAGTTGTTATTTTTATTACAGACCGCCTCTGGCAAATGCTTGGGAAGGCGTGGCACATGCTATTATGACAACATACACAAGTTGGCAGCAGCAGCAGCAGCAGCAGAAGATACGAGCAGAAGCTGAAGCAGCAGCAGGAGAAGCATTCCCAGCATTTACAACGCACACCGTCGTCTGATGATGATAATGCCCCAAAGCGTGGCACAGGTGGCAGGGTCGAAGGCAGACAGGCAGGCAGGCTGCCAGGCAGGAGGCGATGGCAGCTGAAAAGTTGCTGCAGGCCAAGTGGAGGTAGGGGGAGAGCGACCGTGCCAGTTCCTTGCCTCGTTCGTTTTCATTGAAAGGAGGAGGACATGGGGTCAGGGGGCCTAAGTGGCAAGTAACAGTTGGCCAGGGGCTGCAGAAATATAAGCACATAGCCCCCTCCCGGCCCATGGCACGATGCAAGCAGCTGGCCGGCAAGCGACTGAATGCCAAACACTCATCAAGTGTAATGAGTCCTGGGAATGAGTAATTGAGTGCTCTGATTGATCGAATCAGTGGGATTGGCTACAGCTAGCTCCCTAACCAGATCTGATTAGCCACGGATGTGCATGTGCATGTGCATGGCGAATCATTCATTCACTCACTCACTCACTCATTCATTCATTCATTCATACATTCACTCAGTCGCTGATGAGGCATTCAAACGGATGTTGCTGGCAGAAGAGGCAGTGCCCGTGCCCGTGCCCTGGCCGTGGATAAATCACTGAATGCATTCATTAAACGGCCATACAATGGGCGGGTGTTGTGTAGATAACATGTTTGTGCACATAATCACGATGGGAGAGAGTGTTGCCCGAGCAGATACTTCAGCATTCATCATTCTGGGACTGGCATCTTCATGGTACAAAATGTGCAACATTAGTCATCCACTTGGTCCACTCAGCGGACACTCAGCGGACACTGGGACACTCGTTTGCCTAACCATTCATTGATCCACTTATTCCCAGCCAAATGTATTCAATCACTCACTCATCTGGCAGTCCGAGCAGTCTTGACTTGGGCGAGTGTCAGTGCCTTCTAGGCTGTTGCTCGTCAACCGTTGTCAATGTCCTTCTGCCCGCCTTCATTGTCCTTCCTCAGCTGTCATAGCTGTTGTGTGTGGTGTGGCTGGGACGAAGGGAGATGGCAGATGGGAGATGGCCATGGGGAGGCAATGAAAATACCTGCAAGCAAATTATACGAAAACTGAGCAAGCCAAAAACAACGGAAGGTTGTTATTTTAGAGTTCAAGTTAAAGTTAAGCAGCGCCTGCAGCACTCGGCGCACAGCGTTCAGCACTGGCATGGATCCTGTCTGTCTGTCTGTCTGTCTGTCTATCTGTGGGGTTTCTGGGAGATGGAAGGTAGAGGATGGTGCATAGAGGATAGAGGATTGGGTAGATGCGACAGCAATGAAGTGCACTAGAAATGTGAATGAGGATGCGAGTGTTTTGGCTGTGTGCTTCTCCTGCTGCTGCTGCTGCTGCTGCTGCGATATCCTTGCCACGTCCTATCTAGTTGACTCTATTCTCGTTACTCGTATCTTTGTAGAACAATTTTGCGTCAATGCAAGCGGCAAAATGGTTGAATGAACGAATGAATGAATGAATGAACGAATGGGCATAGCACATCCTCGCTCCACCGTTCCGTCCTTCTGCTCACGTCTCTCTGGGTATTTCCTATCTGGTTGCCCATTCGAATGGCGCTGAAAAGTTTCTCTCACTTTGACTTAAGTGACGCCCTGTTCCACCTCTTCCTTCGTCTGATGCTGTTCCTGCTGCTGCCCTTATCCTGCCAGTATGCCAGGTCCTTACTTGCTCCATCCTTCTGCTAGTCAGCCATTCGACCAACAATTGCCGAGTGCACAAGTGAACAGCTCAAGTGTTTGGGATGCTCTTTCCGCTCTTTCCGCTCCTGCTGCTCCTGCTCTTTTCGCTGTCGTTGTTGCCGCTGCAATTAGTGCAGAACGCACTATTACTACTCCTATTATTATTATCATTATGAATTTCAAGCAATCAACTGCAAGAGAACGAGCAGCAAGCAGCATTCAAACTTAAAGTTGTCGACACGAAACTTCTCAATGAATATTCGCTCGATGAATGCTGGATTGCATGGGAGGATGGTGAATGGTGAATGGTGAATGGCAGCAGCAGCTCGAGTTCAAGTGGAAAGTGCCTCGAAATGGATGGGGAAAGCTATGCTTGGGTATGGTTATGGTTATGTTGTGGGTCCATGTAAACAGGAGACCATGAAAAGCCATGGAAATTGAATGGTTGCTCTTCATTTCATTTTCCGTGTGTCTTTTCCGACTCTGTATTTATTTTCTTGTTTACCTATGATAATTGTGATGTTTATTTATGAGAAAGTCGAGCGGGAAGTGCCTCTCTCTTCCCACAAGGAGCATTTCTAGAGGAAAACTCCAGTGAATTGTTTTTCGCATTTTTCGCCAGGATATCTTTTTGCTATTTTTAAGGTGAATTTTTTCTTTCCTTCTTTATTTTTCCATGGATTTGCTTCTCTGTGAGATTTCATGGCACATTCTTGGCGAGGACAGGGACAGCGTGGGAACTTCACTACGAAAGGAATAAATGAAAGCAATTTAAAGGGATAGACTCCACAGGAATATATGAAGCAAATTCGTAAGGCCAAAATTAATTGATTTTATGCACAGCCCAAGGAGTGCCGAAGCTAAAATAATAGAAAATAAACGAATCTTAGCTGAGTTTTGGGTGATTGTAAACCAAAAGTGGAGGCCTAATTGGAAACCAAAACCTAATATTTTTATTCATTTACAGCACAAAAGAAAGTGTTTGGATAGCTTCAAATTACTCCTCCACTTGGACAATTTTCATTTGGTTTTTGAACCATGCAATAATGAAGGTTTTCCTTCGCATGATGTCACTCCACTTTGCTTTGTTTTTGCGGTCATTTGAATAGCAAATGAACGCCCAGAGGAATCCTTAAGGCTTAAGTAGGTTATTAAACATTACTTATCAATCCATTGTTACTCCTTGTTCATCCTTCATCTTTGTGTTCATCTACATCTGAGTCTACAACTGTGTGCTCATTCCTCATTCAGCCTTGCTCCAATTTCCTATCTTTTAATTAGACTGGGCAGAAAACAGAGATTTACTGCTGGACACTCGCTGCTCTCGAATGGGATGGGATGGGATGCTGCTGGTGTGCTCTGGGAAATTGTCGCACTATTATGTACACTTTGGTTCGAGACTCGTTTCGTTTCGTTTCGTTTCGTTTTGGTGTGAGTCTAATAACGGGTTTCAGCTGACATTTCCCTCTGGCAGTGACTGTCAGTGCCTCTCTCTCTCTCTCTCTCTCTCTCTCTTTTATTTACTGTACAATCAAATTTAACTGTTTAAACAAGCGATGAAAAGATTCTGCTCCTCTCACACACACACACACATGTGAGAGGCTGCTGGTGCTGGTGCAGTCATTGTCATTGCCAGAGAGGGCCGTGGGAGTGAGCGAGGCAAAATGCAAAACAATTTCAGGCGAATTAGCGTAATTGTCTCACCACTGCCACTGCCACGGCTGCTGCTGCTGCTGCTGCTGCTGCTGCTGCTGCTGCTACTTCTGAGACAATGGATCCCAGGCAGCAAAGTAAAAGGAGCTGCGCCAAAGCCAAAGGAAGGAGCACAGTACAGCAGAGCATTCAAGCTACTTAATCCTCTAATTTGTGTGTCTGTGTGGCTCTCCCACTCCCACACCCACTTCCACTTCCACTCTCTTCGTATCTGTGTGGGCCACGCCTCTTTTATTCGTTGTGTGCCCAAAAACCAAAGCAAAGTTTGCCTTCATTTATATGCAAAAATGTAAACCAAAAAATCAGCGAGAATGTTAAATCCAACAAAATGCATTTAACACATAAAAATTTGCATAGAAAGTGGCTTTGGTATGCTGCCTCCACCCTCCCTTTCGAATGAGTGTGGGCTGTGACACGTATCCCACACAGAACCGCACGGAAACCTCAGAACCGAACCCTAACACCACTCTCCAGCCATCCCACTATGCCACACTACTCGTATCTCTCTAGTGCGAGCAGAGCAAAACAATTGAAGTTAATTTTATTTTTATTTCCGCTCCTTTACATTTCTTTTATTGTGATGTGCCTGTGCCTGTCCCTGTGCCTTTGCGTGTGTGGGGTCTGTGGCTAGAACTGTCCGTCAAGAAAGCACTTCCAGTAACGGACAGGAGCAGCAACATCAGACAACTTTCCAGTGCAACGCAAGAATTATGGATGTGCAGCAACAGGTACTGGGGTTGCCACAGAACATTTGCTGCCTATATTTAATCATATTTCCCTGCCTGATGATAGAGAATATCGCTTGAGATTCAAATCACATTCTCGAAATAAAAGCGCTCCTCCGATTTTCAAGTGTTGCACAACGCTTTACAGTTTCCCTCTTTGTGTGTGGGCCTCTCCTCCCTATCCTTTTTGGCCATTTCTTATTATGTATTTGTAACCAATTGGTTGCCCAATCTCTACCCCCACACTCCCTCTCTCTCTCTCTGTCTCTCTCTCTCTCTCTATCTGCCCATTGCATTCACGCTCAGTCAATTTTTTTGGCTACTGCTGCTGCTGCTGCTCCTGTGTATCCTTTGCATGGTTGTTGTTTTTGCATGTGTTGAGACTCTCATGGAAATTTGCATACAAATTGCGTCTGGCGCGTAGGTCGCAGCCTGGGACGCTGCTACGTTGCTACGCTGGAAAGCTGGAATGTCGGGGGCGATGGCCATGATGTGGGCGGGATACGTATGTACACACATGTGTGTACATAGATATGTACATATGAATAGGACAGAACCAGCTGGCCCGACATCCGTTTGGGGTTAACGAAGGGTTAACACAACACAAAAAAAACAACAACAGCAGCAGCAGCAGCAGCCGCACCTGACAACTGTCAAATATTTGTGGGCTACCATCGATAAATGGAATAGCAGCAGCATGATCCAGCCGCCTATAGAAAACACGCAACACAGATTATATTTGATTATTTTCTTCTTTTTTTTTTTGCTATATTAAAGTTAATTTATTTGTAATGCATCGAAGCAGCACTTTAAACCAGATATTTGCTCGGGATTGGGATTGGGAATGGGATTGGGACTGTGATGGGTGTTGCATCAACAATCAAGCCCCTAACTATTTGATTTATCAATTTGAAATTGCAACAACTTGTACGAATAAATTGTATTTGAGGTTCCATTGCAGTCTGTCTTTTGGTTTTTCTTGGGCTGTGGCACAAGCCTTGGGCAGAGAGATATTTGAGTGGGCATTTGGGTTGGAAGGGGGGATATTACTTCTTGGACCTAGTCGCGATTCGTCCTGCATCTCGCTATTTTGAGATGTTTTTGGATGCTCCTCCGTTGGAACATTTGGCATGGTTGGTCGCTGCCAAGAACAGACGTTCCTCCTCCAGTGCCAACTCGGCCCTTAATGGTTGAGGAGAGAAACATTGTTCAATGTTAAATGGAAGCTTGTTCCATGGATACATACTCCTCCTTGGCCTTTTCCAGCTGACGCTCGTACTCATCCTTCGGTTTCAGATAGCGGACCATACCCATTGGAATATTTCCATACCGCCTGCGTGCAATTTCTCGCTGATATTCAATCTTGTTTCTGAAATGATACCAGTGCAGTGTCTCATCGTCGAGAAGATCCTGCCTTAGTTTATCCTTGCTGCAAGTAAATTATGATATAAATATGAGATTCAATGATTCAATGTGCCACATGGATACGCACGTCTGATGAGCCATTAAACGTTGCAGCTTAATATCCTCGAACTTCATTTTGAGGCGACTCCGTAACGAGGCTTGCTGAATTTTTGTGTACTCTTTGCAGGTGTTCTGAAACTCTGCTGGGGCAAAAGGAAGTAAAATAGTGCCTTGAAATAGACTGAACACCAGGGAATACTATATTTTCCTCGGACAGACAGAAGGGACAAACGCTCACCCATGAGACTGCAGTTTCACTTCCAAAATGTGTAGAATTTAGTGTTAACTCGTTGCACAGACCAAAATTCAGAGTGATATTTTTTAAAACTAGTTCGAATTTTTTGATTTGCCTGAAGCTGTGCGTGTGATGACGAAAAATATAAAACTGAAACTGCGAGAACTTTGAATTTTGTTGCCTGAGAGTTTTGACAGTTCAATGGGAACGTTCTGCCCGAACACAAAGTGGAAGGAAGTAGGCTGCAAATTTAAATTCAAAAATTTTAATTAAAATTAAATTAAAATTCAACAAAAGTTTCGCTACGGAAAACACGCAGTATAGCGAATCTATCGTGAACCAACGAGTAGAGGTAACGAGAAAAAACTAAAACGAGAGAATGCCTGAGGAACGTAAGATTGAAGATGTCGTGTGGAGCATCAAGAACGGGGCCCACGATGAGGTAGAGTCTCTTTTCGTCAACCACAACTACGACGTCAATGCCGAATTGGGTATGCGCTATCCCATACACTATGCCGCCGACTTTGGCCACCTGAAGATGCTGCAGTTCTTCGTCGGCATGGGGGCCGATGTGGACCGGAAGGACAAGTACGGCATCACGCCGCTGCTGGCTGCCATCTGGGAGGGGCACACCAGCTGCGTGGAGTGTCTGCTCAAGATGGGCGCCAATCGCAAGTTGCTGACGCCCAATGGCGAGACCTACATGGACGTCGCCGAGAAGGAAGAGATCAAGAAGCTTCTGCTGCACACGAAAATGGATCCAAAACCCTAAACATGTACACACCACTCCGGTTCAATGTTGTTGAATTCCTTCAAAATAAATTGTGAAGAGCATTTCAAATAATTGTAGATACTGGCATTGGTAAGCCCCTGGCATTTGTTTCAGTTCCACCAGTTGGAGTCCCAGCAATCCACACACCGACATTAGGATCGATTTATCATCGTTAGCCTTATGTTTGGACTTTAATATGCAAATCAGCCTTTTCCTCTCGCATGAACGCCCAAACATATGCAACAAGACACAATCCCGAAACCCGAATCCCGACCAAATGCGATAAATATGTTGATGCGGTTGGGTTTTTTTTGTATGCCCCCCCCCAGAAACAGTTCCAGTTCCAGTTTCAGCTCCACTCTGCCTACTGGGAGGGCATCTGCTGCTGTGTGCTTTTTCCTGCATTCTTCATTAAAAATAATGAAAATTGAATTTAATTCGCTTGTCAGGCCTAATTATAATTATGTTAATGGCGCATGTTTTCCACAAAATTTACACAATGCTTATCCAAATCGTCACCGAACATGGCCCCCGACCATGTCCCATGCCCGATGTATATACACATGTACATTTGTATGTACATGCAACCCAATCGCTGCATATGTTTTTCATTTAAAGCGACAATTTTGATCGGGCCAAATTTGTTGGAAGTAATTGGCAGTGATTAGCCTTCAGTTGAAATGCGCTTGTAAAATTCTTAATGGGGAAGAATCCATCATTGGCCATTTGTTATTACTTGGAGGAGCTGTCATGTACAATAGATCAATAGAACACCATATACATATATACATACATACATCTTTTTACGATTGTCCGCTGTTAGTTTCGTCGCCGTCTCTGATATTGCTGCTAATCTGCTCTCCTGTTGATCTGCTGTTAACCTCGTTCTGCTGTTAGCCTTGTTCTGCTGTTAACTTTGCTCTGCTGTTGCTGCTTCTTTTTGGTCGTTCTGCTATTGCTGCATGGCTGTTAATCTTCTCTCCAGTTGATCTGCTGTTAACCTCGTTATGCTGTTATTGATGTTGGTCTGCTGTTTGCCTCGCTCTGCTGTTAGCCTTCTTCTGCTGTTAACTTTGCTCTGCTGTTGCTGCTTCTTTTTGGTCGTTCTGCTATTGCTGCATGGCTGTTAATCTTCTCTCCAGTTGATCTGCTGTTAACCTCGTTATGCTGTTATTGATGTTGGTCTGCTGTTAGCCTCGCTCTGCTGTTAGCCTTCTTCTGCTGTTAACTTTGCTCTGCTGTTGCTGCTTCTTTGCCGTCGTTCTGCTATTGCTGCATGGCTGTTAATCTTCTCTCCTGTTGATCTGCTGTTAACCTCGTTATGCTGTTATTGATGTTGGTCTGTTGGTACTGTTTGCTGCTGTTGCTTCTGTTTCTCTTGGTGCTGCTCCTCTTACCCTTCACGTCTAACCTCGTCTACGACTAAGCTATTTGCAGTGCTTGAAATAAATTAGTTTAAGTCTCGCATTCATGCTCAGTGTTCATTTAGCCCATGCAAAATGCAGTTTTATTGCTGGAACTACATCTTTTAGTATTTGTTTGAGCTGGTTCTCCCACTATTGACTTTTTCTTTGTTCCTTCTCTTGTGTTTAATCAGCGTAGAAGTGATTTGAGGACTGTGCGAATAGTTTTACCTCCATTACCATATTCCAATTCCCTACTTCTCCCACTCTCTCTGTGGGTTTCTTTTCATTTTGTAGCCATTACCAAAGCCACTCGCTTGTCGCTAATTTTTTCACTTTAGTTTTGCCCGACGATATGGAAACAATCGCTGAACTTCAACCAAACCAAGCCAACAGCCACGCGGCAGTAGGCACACAGGCACACAGGAGGAGGAGGAGGAGGAGATGGGCCAGGAAGCGGAGGTTGGAGTTGAATTTCGGTTCGGTTTTTGGCAAAGTTGGTTACAGCGATTGAATTTAATTAGCTTATCATGAAAGCGTATTCCCCATAAATTTATCAAAATTGCTTTACACAGCAGCCCGGGCATATCTTTGGCCGGGAAGGGGGGGGTCTTTGGGTTGGGTGGCATACAGGACTCCCGGCAGCTGTCGGCAGCGGCGGCTGGGTGGGTGGGGCGTAGCACAAATTGCATTACGACCCGCCCATTAAACTGATAAAAACGAGAACCGAGAGCGAGAGAGAGAGAGAGAGAGAGCCGAGTGGCGGCGGCTGAAGAGCGACACTTTAAAGTTGATGGTTCGAGAGAATCTAAAATCAAATTTATTAACGCACATTACAAAGCGCACACTTCATAGCACACCAAATGGTTGGGGTTAGGGTTTGGGTTTGGGTTTGTGTTTGGGTTGGGTTGTGTCAGGGGGTGGCTGGCAGGGGGTGGTACAGCTGTCAGTGTTGAAAAGCTATTTGTGAAGCAAAGGGAACACAGTTATTTGTAGGTGTATCAGCAATAGTTCCCACAAATGACAGTCATTCATAAATCTGCAGAGTTCCTACTCCGAATAAGTGTCTGTGAGTTCCTTTGAAAGTTCATTGGCTTCTTCGAAGGCAGAACATTAGGAAAACATGCGCCTAATTGCATCCCTGACCTTCTGCCACTGCCACTGATGGTTAATGGGTGTATCTACGGCCATATCTATGTCATTATTGCCCCAACCATTCCAGCCATTGATGAGGCTCCTACGCGTTTCGTGCTAACTTTGCGTTTGTGCGTGGGCGTAGGCAGCCCTTAATCAGCTTTAAGTTGCGGTTCGATCAACTCAGCCTTATCGACGGAAGCGAGGGTCCGACACACCGACACACCGACACACCGACGGACCGACTGTTCACTTTGATAGCTGGCGAACTGTGTTAATTGATAAGCAATCGTTAATCGCGGTGCCTGGGAGTGGGACACTTCAACCCCGAAATAAAAGCATAACCGCGCTCCTTCCCTTAACCCTGTCTCTGTCTTTGCCTCTCTCTCTCTCCCTCGCTCTCTCTGTCTGTCTGTCTGCCTTTGTGGCATGCGCCTATCTCGGGTGTTCCCTGCACAGGCGTTCGCTTGTAGTGTCAACGCGATTATGATGATTATGTCGCTTCATGTGATATGGTCAGAGGTAGTAACACACACACAGACACACACAGAGAGAGAGAGGGAAAGGATTAGTTGGGGGCATGCAGCATAATCATCATCATCATCATCGTCATCCGTAACCATCCGGCCAGCAATTGGAGGCATTTGTGCGTGAAATTACATTGAAAATTTAATTGTGCACACACACAAAGCACACAAAGTGCCGGTCGGCGGCGGAGTGCATTAGATACGCAAAATTTGCTCATAAATTAAAATGCAACACTGCCGCCTGCTGCACCGCAATCACTGTGCAACACAGTGGCATGGTGAGCAGCGGAATGCGGATAAGAAATGCGATGGGAGATGGCACTGACCACACCCAATGTCAGCGATTCGGGCATTCGGGGATGAGAGTTTATTGATCTGGCCACAATTCAGTCCCAAGTCGACTCAAGGCGAGTGCCATAACCTGGCCATGTCTCGACAGAGAGCCCACACACCACACCACACCACACCTCAATCAACTGAATCTGGGGCAAACGAAATTGAGAATTTAAGAGAAATCGACTGAGGAAAGGCTGAGGGCCGCTGTAAATAAAATATTATCAACCATAACCAGGACAGAGTGCTGGCAAACTTTCAGCACGCAATCATTAGTTGATTGTCTATCGATCTGCCTTCGGCGTAGCTACTACGTAGTACTATGTGCTACTTCGGGGACTGCATACACAGCACGTGGCACACGTGGAAGTTGCCGCACGAATCTCTCCTGTTGCGGCCAGCTTGAAAAGTGCTGCAGCAGCTGTCCCCCTTTGCTCACCCCACTTCCACTCTCCACTTTCCACTTTCCCAGTCAGTTGATGCAGTTTTCCTGTGCGAAAATTAACAAACAAACACACACACATACACACACATGGGGGGAAAGCGAGTGTGGCAAATGAAAATGCGCGCGCGAGAATTCAATTTGTGGAAAAGAAAATTGTGTTGGATGAGCGGCGGCGGATGGTGGGTTAGGCTACGGTTTAGCCTGCTGCCTGCTGCCTGTTTACTTGAGGTTTGTTGCCACCCCCACAAACCCCAAACGTCATAGCCAGCGGTGCAGCAGGAGGAGGAGGAGGATTCCCTGCCGGAAGCAAATGCAAGCGAACAAACGAAGCTCGCAAGGCAAATACGAATACGACTATCCCCTTGGGGATGGGTGAAGTGTTGCCTGGCTGGCTAGGCTCTGTGCCACATGCCACATGCCGTGCGAGTGTCTTGGGTTAGACCAAAATTGGCACAAACGGAACTCGATTGAGTTCGCGGCTGCCACGAGGACTTGTCACCCACCCATCAAGCTGCTGCCCCACAATGCGTTTCCGAAGTGTAGGTCTCTAGGACCAAAGGTATTGGCTCTCTGTAGGGTTAGTGTCCAGCTTGATGGGCTCACCCGAAGGGATAAGCCCATTGCTGCTTGGAAGTGCCGTGGATTTCTGGAAATATAGATATATGTGGTAAGCCCCATTTACATACCCGGGGAAAGGAATCTTTCACGCCTTTGCCTTAGCGTTCATCGAGTATGCAAAGCCTTTTGTTATCCCCATCATTGCCCTTGTCCTTGTCCTTGTCCTTGGCAACGCCTGCGACCAAGTGGGGAGCGAGTCGCGTATGGCATGGCATATTCAACAGCACAGCACATGCCTAGAATGCACCTGCAACCATCCTCGTCCCTATCCCATATGCAATTCATGCCATAGAGATCTTCTCCAGAGGTGGTTTGCCCCGCTGGAGCTGCTGGAATACAAATGACGGCAATCTGTTTGGCTGCTGGATGCCAGCTTCGACGGGTTGAGTTGAGTTTGTGGGTAGTTGTGGGTGAAAACCCCCCAACCCATTGCCACCGTTCTCTGGCCAAATATTTCTATTATTAATGTCTGTTTATCTGCATGCGACGTTGTCGTGAGTACGGTGGATAACACCGTACACACCTCCCCCACTCTCGGCTCTCTCTCTCGCCCTGTCTCTCTCTCTCTCTCTCTGTCTCTGTTTTGTTGGGTCTCTTTGTTTACGCTGCTTTATGAGCTTCGATTAATTTTGCGCGCAAATAGCAGCCGGAGAAGGAGAAACAGCAACAGACGGAGGAGCAGTTGGTATCTCTTGCGCTCAGCTATATTTATACATAGTTTATTAGTTGTTGCTCTTCCCGAGACCCGAGACATGCCCAATGCTAATGATGATAATCATCATAACGATAATGATTATCTGTTGCGGCTTGGGGGGCGGGAGGTAATCATTATGAAAAGAGAATAAAGTGCACCCTGGAGAGAGTTAAAGGGCTGACAGATTACCTAATCGGAATACATATATATAAATGTAACTCGCAACTTGATATGATTCACCTCATGGACAGAGAGCATTCACATGTGATGCCACAGTGTCAGAGTCTCAGTGTCTCAGAGAGTCTCTCTCCCAACGTATGGTTGGCAGCAGTTTGTAGCTTTTGTCCCCGTTAATGACGCTTGCACTCAGCGTTTATTGAGGAAAGTCTGGAGAGATTGGAGAGGTTGTAAATCTTCAGCTATCGCTTGGCAAACGAGTTTTGTTTTCTTTGGGTTTATTTTCATTTTTCGGTATCGTAATTATTATTATTTTACGAGTTTGAGTGTGGAAACTGCTCTGTGGATCGTAGGCCCGAGCTGTGTGTGGCCTGTGCTAATGCAAATGTAAATATTTCCAAGCATGGGTGCAGGGAAAACCAATTTGGGTGGTGCCAGGGGAGTGGTGTTTGCAGAGTGACGCACTCGGTGGGCGGGTTCCACAGATTAAGAGATCTTGATAAGCAGAAAAACCGAACAAACAGAAACATTTGCGAATATTCGCGTAAACAAATAACACACAAGCGTACACAGATAAACACATAAACATACGTAAACAATGTGAACAGGCGAAAGCTCCCTCTCCCCTCTTTGCCGGCAAAGTGCGAAAAATTCTTATCTAGCGATCGATAATGAAGGCGAGGTCGAGGCGGTGAAGGAAGTGCATTACTATCAGCATGTGTGGGATGTGTGTTCGCTCGGATTTAGCTAGAACCCTCGGACTGGTTGGTTCTTTGGGGGTAAAGCTTTTTTGCTGCTGCTGCTGCCGCTGCTGCTGCGAAGGAAGGTCGGCCGACGTGACCAGCGGCACATAGCGAACGAACGAACTAGCAGCGAAAGCTTTTGCGAAACGGTTGGAGGGGGGACGGGGCACTGCGTTTGGAGTCATTTCCCGTTGCTATTGCCCAACCAATTTCTATATAAAGCCCCATGCAGGGCGTGCGTCCCGCGCACATTGCAAATATCTCAGCCCCAGGTTCGGTCGCTCTCGCTGCTGCTCTTACACACACACAACACAGACACAGACACAGACACAGCATGTGGTCAAAGATTGCCATTAGTGGAGCTCTGCTCGTGATGGGTGGCGCTCTGGCCGCCAGCGTTGTGGATAACTTCGCCTATGTGGATCGCTCCCTGGAGGTGGCCATGCCAAAGGCCAAGCGTCATGCGGCGCAGGAGTAGCACGAACGGCGGAATGGAATGGAATGGAACGGCACAGAACGGAACGTTGGAGTGTGGGTTAGTGTACCAGAACCACTCATAAGTGCCGCTTACATAAATACATAAATACATAAATACATACATAAATATGTATGTATCCATATGTACATGTATATGTATATGTATGTAGGAGTGCCGGCACTCCTCTGCTGCCGTCTACCAGTGGCCCCAACGAACAACACCCCACACAGAGGTTGATCCCCCTCCACCATAGAATTAGGTTTATTTTTTTTTTGTATCATTAATTTCGATGTTAAGCGACAATTAAATTCCAACCAAATGACCTGCAAATTCTTTTCGCTGGTGGGGCTTACATGAATGCATTTTGTGACTTCGTCGGTGATCCATGATGTTGCGAGTCCCTGTGGGTAGTGATCAGTGCTGGGGCAGCTTCTGGCAGGCAGTCCAACTGCTGCTGGAAATACTTGGAAAATGTGTTGGCTAGCCGGAGTGGGAGACGAATCCCCCTCGGTTCCCCTTGTCAACATATTAAATTGAATTTGGTTCAGGCCTCATTTGCTTTTATCTTTGCTGACTCGTCAACTCCCCCACCCTGCGACGAGACTTTCAGACCGCCACTGTAAGCCACACACACAATCCCAACTCTCCCCCCTCTACCCTCTACACTCTTCCTGTGTCAGTGGCCGCAATCTGTGGGCTGTGGCGCCGCACAAAAAATGACTGGCAAGCCGCAAATACTTTGTCAGGATCAAGTTGACAGTCGGTCGGGCCCGCTCGTTCCCTACGCTGCTGTGGTCCTGTCCGGCAAGGTCCTGTGCTCCATCGAGACTGAGACTGAGCGGGCCTATGCCCACCCTCTCCTGCAGCCAGGTCCTCACGCATTTGACACTTTTTTGTCTTTTGTCCGAGAGCCGGCTGAGTGTCGCCATATGCCGGAGTCCTGTCCGCTGTATCCTGTCTGGGTGTGCGTGTGTTGAGGCATTTGGCAGAACAGATTGTTCAAGATTTGATTTCGGGCAAGCTTTTCCACCAGTCACAGCCACAGTCACAGTCTCTCTCTCTCTCTCTCTCTCTCTCTGCTGTCTCCCTGGAACAATCGTTAATCTAATGAAAGATGACATTCTCTCTGTGTGTGTGTGTGTGTTTGTGTGTGGGTGAGTTAGGGGGAATGTCCCAAAAACATTTGAGCCGGCTTTGGCATGTGACCACTTCCCCATCCACATCCACATCCACATCCGATTTGGCCCCCAGTTTGTCGGGCATTCATCATTGCAGGCGCAGGCCTGGGGCCGGCGGGCTTTGATGAATAAGCGGCTAGTTAAGTAGTGGCCGGAGTAGTTGTGGAGAGGGAGAGAGAGAGACTGCCACAGACCACCTGCGATCACAGTTCAATCTGGTCAATCTTCTACTCCCAAAGAGGCTGTCGCGAGACTGCATTCGGGACTGTCTCCTCAGAGCTCTTGCCACGCCAATAAAATTTGATTAGCCCAAGTCCACAGGCTGCTGGGAATGTGAGGGAACAGCCCTAACCCTATCCTGGCCGTCCTAGGGCCTGGCCAGGGCAGGGACATGTGCATTGTGTATTCATGGGGGCAGCACCAGCACAGCGAGGACCTTAGACAGGACAACTTTGGGTTAATTTACATTATAAACTTTGAATATTTTATTGTTTGCAGAGGCTAAGGACACAGCTGGCCTCCACTGCCGTCTTTATTGGTGCGGATGCCTGTGGTCAGCAGAATGATGACAGAAAGGAGCCGCCTGATTTAATGGCAGCATAAACATTCCTGGCCAAGATGCCTCCTCCGGGCTCGCTCTCTGTGGCACTCTCCGGTCGCTAGGCTACACCCTGCTGCCACATTTTCTACTCGAACTTTCATTACCATTGCCAGTGCCAGTGCTAGTGCCAGTGCCATTATTCCCTTTTGCCATCCTCATTAGCATAGCTGGCTGTCAGGGCCTGGCCTGGGCCCGGCTGCTTGTTAAGCTTTTAAGCATCAGGTTACTAAATAATTAAACAATTTCCCCCGTTGGCAGCTCGTAAAGCAAATCAACCGCAGATTTACAGTGGAGTGGAGGGGCACCACCCGTCCAGGAGCTGCACCACAGACAGGTGGCAGACATCAACGTATCGGATTGCACGCCAGTTTTCATAATCACAAACTCGATTATGTTTCCCTTTCGAAGGATGTTTTCCCTTTCAATCGCTGGTGGACACTGACTGCAGCTGATAGCTGTTCCAGTCTTTGGTCTACGCAAATATTGTGAGTAGAAAGGCTCCATTTAGGACTCCATTTGGCGAGCAGAGATAGAGATACTCAATGATCCATCGATTAACCCTCCTGTATGTGTATCCGTGTATCTGTAGCAACTGCACCTCCAGCTCCACCTGCACCTCCTCAGATCTCAGCGCCACTTATGGCTGGCTTTTCCGTTGAAAACTCATGTTTATGGTCCTGGAACGTTTCTCCAGCTGAGAGTTTTTGGCCGAAGCTGCTAATAAGCTACGTGTTTCAGCATCAGCTCAGGCAGCACACCCTTTGAGTTGCACGCTGGTTGCAGCGGTAGTTGCCACGGCTTTTGGGCTAATAAAAATACGAGACAATTTAAGCCGCTGCCTTGCCGTGTGCTCTTTGTTGTTGGCCCTCCCCACGCACCCAGGAACTAAGCCACATATGAGTAAAGCCCCAAGCTAATCCACAGAACAACACAGAACCCGAGGGGCGGAGAAGCTGAAAATTAATAATTTATATTTAAATTTGTTTGCTGGCGCCCAACAATGAGCCAAGGATTTTCAACGCCTTTTTTTTGTGCTGGCAAGAAGAAAGGGGGGAAAACTCTATGGCCCAGGGTTGGTGGAGTGCGCAGGGGAGGAAACTCATTTAAAGAAATTCTCCGCTTATCGGTTGGCTGCCATCGAAATTAGCTAAAGCCAAAAGTGCGCAGAAGGACACGGACACGGACACGGAGACGGAGATGTCCAGGGTGCAAAGCGTATGCAAGGAATGCAATAAATTATAAGGCAAATCCAGAGTTGAGATCACAACAACCACGGAACGGCCATTAAATGCCCCCCTGCCACCACACCCACCGCACTGGTGTCTGTGCTCGCTGCTCGCTGCTCGCTGCTCCCAGCGCTCATTCTTCATTTATTCTTGCTCCTTGTTGTTCCTCCATTTAAATTGATAAAAATCGCAAACAATTTTTACGCGCCCGCCACTCAGGATCAGCAGCAGAAGAGGACCAGCATGGGACAAGGACAAGGACACGGCTGGGGATGAAAATGCAGAGGAGTAAGAGGGAGCAAGTAGCTGCTGCTGCAATCAAACGGCAGTTGGAGACTTTAGTTTGTTGTGGAAATACTCACAAGTAGGATCAGAATGTTTAAACAAATAAATGAAACAAAGAAAATCTACTTGCTGTGGGCAGTGCATAAACCAATCTCCATCAAATAATTATAGACTTTGAAGGGGGAAATGCTGGATGCGAACACGAAAGAAACGCCAATTTATGTTTGGCATATCTGCAGACACAAAATGTGTATGGAATAGAGCTGCTCGAGTTGCAATTATTTGTTCGAATTGCTTCATTGCTGAAGGTATTTGCTGGCTTTCCAGCTTAGGACTCCTCATCCATCTGGATGGGCTTCAGTCGGTCCCTGCGTTAATTCATTCCCTCTCTGTCTTCACCTTCACCTCTGTCTGAAACCCCCTGAAAATTGTGAGCATATGTAAATCGTTAAAGCCGCAAAATGTTTCAAAGTGTCTCCTTTAAAGCAAACAATAAGAGTGCGCAAAAGGAAATCCAAAAAGAAGAAAAGTTTAAATACAAAAATGCTGACAAATGCGATTCGATTTCCATCCGCAACTGGGAAGGTTTCAGCTGTTGGTCAGAGTGGGGTGCGGGGTGCGGGGTGCGGGGTTTCGGTTTTCCATATCTCAAAGTTGGGAAATTAAATTAAATTTCTTTATTGGCACTTTTTTTCTGCATTCGTTTCATTTCGTTTGCCACGCATATGCATATGCAGAAGGAAGCGGCAACAAAAAAATACCCACCCAAGGGTGGGTCGTTGTGTGGCTGGGGGTTGTCTGTGTGGGTGGGTGGTTGGGTGGTTGGGTGGTTGGACAGCCGAAGCAATCAGCAGCAATAAATGATAAGCTTCGAGGCAAGAAAGCCTCTGGCAAAAGACGCACGAACACAAAGCAAAACACAATGTGGGGCTAAAGGCCAAGCAAAAAACGTCTCAAAAAAAAAGCAAGGAAAGGAAAGGAAAATGTCACATACCAGACCCGGAGTCCGATCCCCGCTGCAGCAGCAGCAGCAGCAGCAGCAGGGCCAGCACCCACATTGAGGGATGGAATAGGCTTGGATTGGACTTGGACTTGGGTCTATGTCTGGTGGAGATGGAGGGGGCGCTTGTCTGGGGCTACTTTGCAACAGATTTGCCGCTAACGAAGCGCACGATTTCCAATAATGTGCAGAATGTGTCTGCGAGATGCGGATGCGATTCAGTTGCTACCCAGCAGGACATCGGACAGCCACGTTTAAGCACAACCAGTGGGAGGGAAACTTTATTTTAGTTGCTAGTTTCAATTCCGCTTTCGCGCTGTTTCTGCTTTCTGCTTTCTGCTTTCTGCAATTGCCGCAGCAGGGTATCTGCGTAGTCCAGCTTCTGTCTGCCCCACAGGCACACATTGAGATACAATCAAGTGGGCTTGTGGGGGGCGTGTGCGAGTGTCACTCATAAAACGTACACCGAATGGACATCCACACACCACGGAGAGATGCGACTTGTTAGCCGGACTCTTTGCCATAATGAGTTCCCTTGTGGCCAGGCCAGAGCAGGCCAAATCGCCCTTTTATAGAGCCACCCAGGGGTATGGCGTAAGGGGCTGTGCGTCAAGGTGAAAGCCACTTAAAGCCAAGGGCATGGCTCAACAATTTCCAGTTATCGTGTGACACTAATGAAGTGACAGACAGCCACAGCTACAGCTACAGCTACAGTCGAAGCGCCGAGACGCCGATGACAACCCGACCGCAAAAGCCTGAAGTGTGAATTCGTTGTGGCTGGGGAGCGAAGAGCCACTTGGAGTTTGATGTCTCCGCTTAAAGCCGTTTAAAGGGCCAAAGCTTCCGGCCCCCCCTCTCTGTATTATTCTCTCTCCCGCGTTTGGTGGTCCTTGGACAGAGGCCACATACATTATTAATTGCAGAATAATTGCAAAATTGTGTTTGGCCAAGTTAATTTATGCAATAAAACTTTACACAGGCCGCCGAGCAACCAGAGACCGACCGACAAGCCACCGACTGACTGATGT